TGAACAACAATAACAAAACAGCGAAAAATTATTGCTGAATAACAAATTAAAATGAAACCATTTAAAACGGGTTAAAACGGCAGCAACAACAACGAAAAAGTTTTTAATATTAAATCAACAAATATATAACAGAAAAAAACAACATAATCATCATCATTGTCGTCCTCATAATGATTATCATTATCTTTATAATCCCTTTTTGCACTCGCACTTTATTTTTAAAACCAACTCTTTTATGCTCTTACTAACTCATAACTTTAAGTCGGGTTGCCAGATGTATAGTTAAAAATCAACTTATTATTTAACGAACTAAAACTGATTAGAAGAGAAGTAGAACTGAAAAAGAACTAAACTAGAACTGAACTGGAACTAAACTTAAAGCAAACTAGAACTGAACTAGAACTGAACTAGAACTGAACTAGAACTGAACTAGAACTGAACTAGAACTGAACTAGAACTGAACTAGAACTGAACTAGAACTGAACTAGAACTGAACTAGAACTGAACTAGAACTGAACTAGAACTGAACTAGAACTGAACTAGAACTGAACTAGAACTGAACTAGAACTGAACTAGAACTGAACTAAAACTGAACTAGAACTGAACTAGAACTGAACTAGAACTAAACTAGAACTGAACTAGAACTGAACTAGAACTGAACTAGAACTGAACTAGAACTGAACTAGAACTGAACTAGAACTGAACTAGAACTGAACTAGAACTGAACTAGAACTGAACTAGAACTGAACTAGAACTGAATTAGAACTGAACTAGAACTGAACTAGAACTGAACTAGAACCGAACTAGAAATGAACTAGAACTGAACTAGAACAGAACTAGAACAGAACTAGAACAAAACTAGAACTGAACTAGAACTGAACTAGAACTGAACTAGAACTGAACTAGAACTGAACTAGAACTGAACTAGAACTGAACTAGAACTGAACTAGAACTGAACTGAACTAGAACTGAACTAGAACTGAACTAGAACTGAACTAGAACTGAACTAGAACTGAACTAGAACTGAACTAGAACTGAACTAGAACTGAACTAGAACTGAACTAGAACTGAACTAGAACTGAACTAGAACTGAACTAGAACTGAACTAGAATTGAACTAGAACTGAACTAGAAGTAAACTAGAAGTGAACTAGAACTGAACTAGATCTGAACTAGAAGTAAATTAGAAGTGAACTAGAACTGAATTAGAACTGAACTAGAACTAAACTAGAACTGAACTATAACTAAATTAGAACTGAACTAGATTTGAACTAGAACTGAACTATAACTAAATTAGAACTGAACTAAAACTGAAATTTAACTGAACAACGCTGAATTAGAACTGAACCTTCATAAAACAAGAACTTAACTAGTGCCTAACCAGAATTGAAAGAGAACTGAACTGGCAGAGAACTAAAACTTAATAAGAAATGAGAATTTAGATTAATAAGAACTGAACGAAGTCTATATTATAGATAAAGCTTGGTAAATATTGGTTATGGAGCCAAAATATTTAGGCATGTAGTTCCGTCTGCACGTCTGTTTGTTGAAAGAACGACTGGGTCCAAACGGAAATATGTAAAGGAAAGAATGAATATTTTATATAGGTAATGTAAAATAACGGTCCACGTTCTCCCATAGCTACTATTTCTTCATCATTATCATTCTTCTACTACCCTTCCTTTATGGATTTGTTACTTTATCATGACTGCTCCGCTTAACTCTTCTTGTATTTTTTATTAAAGCAAATCCAAAAGAAGATCTTTGCCACCACATTGGAGCAACAGAAAAAAAAAAAACATAAATGATCCATAAAAACACAGGCGAAAAAACGCAGCACATGATAACAGCAACAACAAGACAAAAAATCAATTGAGCGATCAAGTGTCTTGAGGCGAAACAGAAGGTGGAATAAATAAAACAATAATGATCAAAATGAAGTTAAAGTGAATTTTTGATGAACGTTCATTCCTTTTTTTGTCCCAACTTTTGTGAGTCTTCTTCCTCATATTGTTGTCAATGGGGGGATCATTTTTTTGCAGCTCCATCTTTATTTTTTAATAGTCTGGAGTGTGCAGCTGTGTTTTTGTTGTTTTTGTTGCAGCCAGTCGTTCTTTTTTGTTTTTTTTTTTTGCGTTTTTGCCAATAAAGAGTTTTGCAAGAAAAGAGGAATGTGGCAGACATTTTAAAATGTTCATTTAAATTGTATTCAAAAAGATTTGTTTACTTTTTCATCTGCCTAATAAGCACTGACATGTCATTAATGTTATTAATAGTTATTTGTTAAACAAATTTGTTATATTTTTGTTATGATTTGAAGCGACAAGCCGAAGACAGGACATGATCTGCGCAGTTTCTTTGAGTTTCAGTTTTTTTTATAATAATCACTGTCATGACAGTAAAGATATTTTAAATAAATTATATTTAATTTATAAAATTAATTTTAAAACTATCGATAACAGTTTTACCCTTTCTGTTGAAAATATGTATGACAAAACTAGTCAATGAGAAAACTTCGTAAATGCTTTAGAAAGAATATATGAATTGTTAATATTTTTTAATCTGCACGAGTGAATTATTATCTTGCAGTGCATGTGTAGTTAATTTAATCTAATTAGTTTAATTATAGTGATTTTCTCATATGTGTATAGCAATTAATTATAAACTAATTTATAATAAAATTCAAGTTACTGTTAATTGTTATTAAATAGAGCAGATGCAAACCAATTATGAAATAAAACTCTATAGATCTAAAACAGGGACAGAATTTTATTTAAACTAGAACAAAACCCTAAATACAGACAGACTAGAATTGAGCCTAACTGAAATAGAACTGAACTGAAACTGAACTGGAACTGAACTGGAACTGAACTGGAACTGAACTGGAACTGAACTGGAACTGAACTGGAACTGAACTGGAAATGAACTGGAACTGAACTGGAACTGAACTAGAACTGAACTGGAACTGCACTGGAACTGAACTAGAACTGAACTTGAACTGAACTAGAACTGCACTACAACTGAAGTAGAACTGAACTAGAACTGAACTAGAACTGAACTAGAACTGAACTAGAACTGAACTAGAACTGAACTAGAACTGAACTAGAACTGAACTAGAACTGAACTAGAACTGAACTAGAACTGAACTAGAACTGAACTAGAACTGAACTAGAACTGAACTAGAACTGAACTAGAACTGAACTAGAACTGAACTAGAACTGAACTAGAACTGAACTAGAACTGAACTAGAACTGAACTAGAACTGAACTAGAACTGAACTTGAACTGAACTAGAACTGAACTTGAAAACTGAACTAGAACTGAACTAGAACTGAACTAGAACTGAACTAGAACTGAACTAGAACTGAACTAGAACTGAACTAGAACTGAACTAGAACTGAACTAGAACTGAACTAGAACTGAACTAGAACTGAACTAGAACTGAACTAGAACTGAACTAGAACTGAACTAGAACTGAACTAGAACTGAACTAGAACTGAACTAGAACTGAACTAGAACTGAACTAGAACTGAACTAGAACTGAACTAGAACTGAACTAGAACTGAACTAGAACTGAACTAGAACTGAACTAGAACTGAACTAGAACTGAACTAGAACTGAACTAGAACTGAACTAGAACTGAACTAGAACTGAACTAGAACTGAACTAGAACTGAACTAGAACTGAACTAGAACTGAACTAGAACTGAACTAGAACTGAACTAGAACTGAACTAGAACTGAACTAGAACTGAACTAGAACTGAACTAGAACTAGAACTGAACTAGAACTGAACTAGAACTGAACTAAAACTGAACTAGAACTAAACTAGAACTGAACTAGAACTAAACTAGAACTGAACTAAAACTGAACTAGAACTAAACTAGAACTGAACTAGAACTAAACTAGAACTGAACTAGAACCTAACTAGAACTAAACAAGAACTGAACTAGAACTGAACTAGAACTGAACTAGAACTGAACTAGAACTGAACTAGAACTAAACTAGAATTGAACTAGAACTGAACTAGAGCTCAACTAGAACTGAACTAGAACTGAACTAGAACTGAACTAGAACTGAACTAGAACTGAACTAGAACTGAACTAGAACTGAACTAGAACTGAACTAGAACTGAACTAGAACTGAACTAGAACTGAACTAGAACTGAACTAGAACTGAACTAGAACTGAACTAGAACTGAACTAGAACTGAACTAGAACTGAACTAGAACTGAACTAGAACTGAACTAGAACTGAACTAGAACTGAACTAGAACTGAACTAGAACTGAACTAGACTGAACTAGAACTGAACTAGAACTGAACTAGAACTGAACTAGAACTGAACTAGAACTGAACTAGAACTGAACTAGAACTGAACTAGAACTGACTAGAACTGAACTAGAACTGAACTAGAACTGAACTAGAACTGAACTAGAACTGAACTAGAACTGAACTAGAACTGAACTAGAACTGAACTAGAACTGAACTAGAACTGAACTAGAACTGAACTAGAACTGAACTAGAACTGAACTAGAACTGAACTAGAAACTGAACTAGAACTGAACTAGAACTGAACTAGAACTGAACTAGAACTGAACTAGAACTGAACTAGAACTGAACTAGAACTGAACTAGAACTGAACTAGAACTGAACTAGAACTGAACTAGAACTGAACTAGAACTGAACTAGAACTGAACTAGAACTGAACTAGAACTGAACTAGAACTGAGCTAGAACTGAACTAGAACTGAACTATAACTGAACTAGAACTGAACTAGAACTGAACTAGAACTGAACTAAAACTGAACTAGATATGTTATTATAATTTTTAAGTTATGAATATTTATTTAAACCTTCAAAATTTTTGGATTATGTAAAAAAAGTAATTATTGATGAAATGTTAACACTGTCTGTAGATGTAAATAAATATCTAAAGCAGACATGCAAAATCTGTGTAATTAGATATCAAACTTAATATAAAACTTGGATAACAAAGCAATATTTGAAACATTACAATTTAAACTAAATCAGGAAGTAGTTAATACAAATGATTTACAAATTAATAACGTTAGCATTTTTAGTCCGTGTGGTATATAAATCAATAAGTAAATTTAATGGATAGATTTAATCAGTTATTTGTTTTTTTCTTCCTTTCAAGGGCACAACTTTACCTTACAAATATGAAGTTCAATTCCGCGATGAATACTTTTTGCCATGTCCAAATTATCCGAATAATTCCCTAGACATAGTTTTAAGAAGGCCGGAAAATATAACATTTCTATCAGATTCTGCTACTTACATCGCCGGAGATGTTGTACTCATTTATGATTTCGATCCATCACAAAAATATCCGGTAAGACTGAATTAATTTAAAAAAATTAAATAAAATTAAATATTTTTTAAGGCCAACATGGAATTTTTTAAATTTAATCGTGGCAGTTGGCAAAAAACACTTTACAGCATTCGACGTGAGGACTTTTGTAGCAGCTTTTTTAATCCTTCCGAAGTGTGGTCCACCTTTCTTAAGGAACTGCCTGCAGAACAACGTAAATGTCCGTTAAGAAAAGGGGTATGTGTCATTAGAAATGCATCCACCTACAAAATTTTGATAAATTTTTTTCAGCAAATATTTTCCATCAATGTTACTATGGATCAATCTTTTGAAATGGCTTCTGGTTCATTGGAAGGTGATTATTGGGCTCATTTGGAGGCGGGCAATAAAAACAATTTAAATATGTTTTTTTGCGTAGATGGTTATTTTAGTGTATATCGGGTTTAATGGTTGGCAAAAAGTAATTTTTATAATAAATAAGTTTTGTAAACAATATATCGCTTCTTTAATGAAATTTCTAATCCAGATTTCCCATACGCATATTTTTGCCCATTGCAAAAATCGCATTTTGGATATAACTTCATTCCAAATAGTTTTGACAACTTTTGTGAATCGTTCCAGATATGAACGAACACCTTAAAAGTTGTTTACCTTCATCACGGTCATTTTTTATTATTTTTTTTGTTTTTCTTCAAGTTGTCTTTAAAACAAGATCTAGTAAAAAAAACTCATACAGCAGTTTTGACTTGCTTTAACTAAAGATTCTTGTTTCTAGATGGGATTATTCCTGACAGCATCCAGTAAAACATACTAGGCGAGTACTATGCGAATCACAATTATTAACGTAAATTAACGCGGGCGTTAAAATTTCAATTTTTCACTCAATTATTTAATAATAAAACTAAAAGAGCGAAATAAAACGCCAAATCTAAAACAAATATACAAGTAAACAAAAAGATCTACTGAAAATATATTTTAATGACAATATCATTTTGTACTTAGTCAGATTGTTGTTTTTTCTCGCGCAAATCCTATAAAAGGTTTAAAACACACTGCCATCAAAACGAACGTCAGACAGACACCTAAAGTCAAAAGAATACGAGTTTGCGAATTAAGAATTTCTAGCACGTACTATGGTTTATTCATTTCTTTATTAATAATTTTTTTGTATTCATTATTTTTAAGGTTTTTCTATATGGTTAAGAAGTACACATAAAGTTTAAATACAATTTTTGCAAAAATATATATACATACATTGACATAAATCCAAAGTCAGGTAAGTAAGAGATGAAATCACGATTATGAAAACAAGCTTAATTAATCAGTTCTAGTTCAGTTCTGGTTCAGTTCTAGTTCAATTCTAGTTCGGTTCTAAATCAGTTCTAGTTCAGTTCTAGTTCAGTTCTAGTTCAGTTCTAGTTCAGTTCTAGTTCAGTTCTAGTTCAGTTCTAGTTCATTTCTAGTTCATTTCTAGTTCATTTCTAGTTCAGTTCTAGTTCAGTTCTAGTTCAGTTCTAGTTCATTTCTAGTTCATTTCTAGTTTATTTCTAGTTTAGTTTCTAGTTCAGTTCTAGTTCAGTTCTAGTTAAGTTCTAGTTCAGTTCTAGTTCAGTTCTAGTTCAGTTCTAGTTCAGTTCTAGTTCAGTTCTAGTTCAGTTCTAGTTCAGTTCTAGTTCAGTTCTAGTTCAGTTCTAGTTCAGTTCTAGTTCAGTTCTAGTTCAGTTCTAGTTCAGTTCTAGTTCAGTTCTAGTTCTTCTAGTTCAGTTCTAGTTCAGTTCTAGTTCAGTTCTAGTTCAGTTCTAGTTCAGTTCTAGTTCAGTTCTAGTTCAGTTCTAGTTCAGTTCTAGTTCAGTTCTAGTTCAGTTCTAGTTCAGTTCTAGTTCAGTTCTAGTTCAGTTCTAGTTCAGTTCTAGTTCAGTTCTAGTTCAGTTCTAGTTCAGTTCTAGTTCAGTTCTAGTTCAGTTCTAGTTCAGTTCTAGTTCAGTTCTAGTTCAGTTCTAGTTCAGTTCTAGTTCAGTTCTAGTTCAGTTCTAGTTCAGTTCTAGTTCAGTTCTAGTTCAGTTTAGTTCAGTTCTAGTTCAGTTCTAGTTCAGTTCTAGTTCAGCTCCAGTTCAGTTCTAGTTCAGTTCTAGTTCAGTTCTAGTTCAGTTCTAGTTCAATTCTAGTTCAGTTCTAGTTCAGTTCTAGTTCAGTTCTAGTTCAGTTCTAGTTCAGTTCTAGTTCAGTTCTAGTTCAGTTCAGTTCTAGTTCAGTTCTAGTTCAGTTCTAGTTCAGTTCTAGTTCAGTTCTAGTTCAGTTCTAGTTCAGTTCTAGTTCAGTTCTAGTTCAGTTCTAGTTCAGTTCTAGTTCAGTTCTAGTTCAGTTCTAGTTCAGTTCTAGTTCAGTTCTAGTTCAGTTCTAGTTCAGTTCTAGTTCAGTTCTAGTTCAGTTCTAGTTCAGTTCTAGTTCTAGTTCGTTCTAGTTCTAGTTCAGTTCTAGTTCAGTTCTAGTTCAGTTCTAGTTCAGTTCTAGTTCAGTTCTAGTTCAGTTCTAGTTCAGTTCTAGTTCTAGTTCAGTTCTAGTTCAGTTCTAGTTCAGTTCTAGTTCAGTTCTAGTTCAGTTCTAGTTCAGTTCTAGTTCAGTTCTAGTTCAGTTCTAGTTCAGTTCTAGTTCAGTTCTAGTTCAGTTCTAGTTCAGTTCTAGTTCAGTTCTAGTTCAGTTCTAGTTCAGTTCTAGTTCAGTTCTAGTTCAGTTCTAGTTCAGTTCTAGTTCAGTTCTAGTTCAGTTCTAGTTCAGTTCTAGTTCAGTTCTAGTTCAGTTCGTCTAGTTCAGTTCTAGTTCAGTTCTAGTTCAGTTCTAGTTCAGTTCTAGTTCAGTTCTAGTTCAGTTCTAGTTCAGTTCTAGTTCAGTTCTAGTTCAGTTCTAGTTCAGTTCTAGTTCAGTTCTAGTCAGTTCTAGTTCAGTTTCTAGTTCAGTTCTAGTTCAGTTCTAGTTCAGTTCTAGTTCAGTTCTAGTTCAGTTCTAGTTCAGTTCTAGTTCAGTTCTAGTTCAGTTCTCTAGTTCAGTTTAGTTCAGTTCTAGTTCAGTTCTAGTTCAGTTCTAGTTCAGTTCTAGTTCAGTTCTAGTTCAGTTCTAGTTCAGTTCTAGTTCAGTTCTAGTTCAGTTCTAGTTCAGTTCTAGTTCAGTTCTAGTTCAGTTCTAGTTCAGTTCTAGTTCAGTTCTAGTTCTAGTTCAGTTCTAGTTCAGTTCTAGTTCAGTTCTAGTTCAGTTCTAGTTCAGTTCAGTTCAGTTCTAGTTCAGTTCTAGTTCAGTTCTAGTTCAGTTCTAGTTCAGTTCTAGTTCGTTCAGTTCAGTTCTAGTTCAGTTCTAGTTCAGTTCTAGTTCAGTTCTAGTTCAGTTCTAGTTCAGTTCTAGTTCAGTTTCTAGTTCAGTTCTAGTCAGTTCTAGTTCAGGTTCTAGTTCAGTTCTAGTTCAGTTCTAGTTCAGTTCTAGTTCAGTTCTAGTTCAGTTCTAGTTCAGTTCTAGTTCAGTTCTAGTTCAGTTCTAGTTCAGTTCTAGTTCAGTTTCTAGTTCAGTTCTAGTTCAGTTCTAGTTCAGTTCTAGTTCAGTCTAGTTCAGTTCTAGTTCAGTTCTAGTTCAGTTCTAGTTCAGTTTAGTTCAGTTCTAGTTCAGTTCTAGTTCAGTTCTAGTTCAGTTCTAGCTCAGTTCTAGTTCAGTTCCAGATCAGTTCAGTTCTAGTTCAGTTCTAGTTCAGTTCTAGATCAGTTTCTAGTTCAGTTCTAGTTCAGTTCTAGTTCAGTTCTAGATCAGTTCTAGTTCAGTTCTAGTTCAGTTCTAGTTCAGTTCTAGTTCAGTTCTAGTTCAGTTCTAGTTCAGTTCTAGTTCCGTTCTAGTTCAGTTCTAGTTCAGTTCTAGTTTAGTTCTAGTTCTAGTTCTAGTTCTAGTTCAGTCTAGTTCAGTTCTAGTTCAGTTCTAGTTCAGTTCTAGTTCAGTTCTCGATCAGTTTCTAGTTCAGTTCTAGTTCAGTTCTAGTTCAGTTCTAGTTCAGTTCTAGTTAGTTCTAGTTCAGTTCTAGTTCAGTTCTAGTTCAGTTCTAGTTCAGTTCTAGTTCAGTTCTAGTTCAGTTCTAGTTCAGTTCTAGTTCAGTTCTAGTCAGTTCTAGTTATAGTTCAGTTCTTGTTTTGTTCTAGTTTTGTTGATAGGAGGATGTAGCTTTGTCAAATTCGAAGTAAGCCACTATCGGGGGTATTTTTCATTGAAAATATTTGTTGGTAACAACACAAACCTTATATGATATTCTCTGAATAGCATATCGTCCGACGTTTAGAAACTCATTTTCCTGGACATAATTCCTAAGAATTGTCCAATCAGTGTTCGTGAGGGATGTAATATCCGTAATAATATCACTCCCAAGATATTTGGATATAATTTCGGCCAAAGCCTGAGTATCACGTTTCGTCTGAATCCACACGTCCAATTTTGTATAGCTGTGGCCGTAATCCTGTGTGTCTACTCAGAATGCGTACCATCACTCCAACCTTAGACTTGGTCATTTTGAAGGGGCTTTTCGTCCTGCTCTCTTCAGGGTCACCCCATATGATCTTCTTGGTTCTACCCACCGTTTCTAAGAGGCCACCCATATTTTTATTCTCTCCTCGTTTTGATGGTTTTGCATTCATCAGGTTAACTACCTGTAAAGATGTTAAACCCTGTGTGCACCATAATTATTCTAATCAAATTTACGCGTAACGTTATTGCTCAGACTTCTTTCTAGAAGCTAGTTAAACGGTAAACGGTGGTATATTTCTGTTTCTGGGATTGGAGAAGTGTATCGGGGGATCAGTATATAGGGATTCACATATATAGTAGACAAATTCGTTTAATGCGATTTCCACCAAGTCCCTTTATATAAAAGCATGCTGCTTATATTTGAGGTCTTTGGTACACTACTTTTAACCATATTATTGATTACGTTCCAAGGTTTTAAGAATGAAGGACGTAAGGCTTATCGGTCGATAGTATTATTTGTCGCATATCTAGGGTTTCCTGGTTTGGGTATAAATATTACCCTTGCATCCCGGTCATGCAGGTTGTGATTACCTTCTTAACCATGCCAGTTATAATAACTCTGTGTTAGCCTCTCCTTGCCCTAATATCGGTTCATATATAGTACCCGATATACCAGAGTCTATTAGGAATCTCATTGTCTCCTCCATATCCTTCTGTCCCTTTACCACGCCATCGATCATAGATTACGGTTGGACATGAGTTTTGAATACGATTTTTTATCTTCGTTTCATTTACGCTATCTACCTGTTAACAGAAAAGTTTACAGAAGTCTCGTTTGGCTTTTCGAACGATTTCTTTATATGAACCAAGTTTACTGTAGATTTTAGAACACAAGAACTCATATATTGACTTCATTCTTTTAAGGTTCTTTCCATATTTAGTATTAAGTAAGTGCAGAAGAAAAAATCGTATATACTGGAAAAGCAGTATATTTGCAACGACGCACA